GACTTGACTTGAATTTGAGATATTTATTACTTGACTTGAAATCAAGCTACTTGATAATACTTGATCTTGATACGCAAGAGTCGCACGGCGTATATTTCTTCAAGCTCGCTCACGCTTAGACAAAATAAGGGGGTTCCCCGAGATCCGAGCTGACTGAAACGATCGACGATCGCGCAGTCAGTCTTACGATGCCATTTTCATTTCATCAGTTATATACAGGGTGACTCACGGTCGATGGTAGGTTAGACGTTCACGTTTATGATAGGAACGCAACACAGGATTTTTCTGAAAATTTCGCATCTCACATTCCATCACCGGTACTATCGATCTAATATATTTTCAAAATCACGACGTTGCCGCTTCTATAGAAAAGTAGGAACCACTTTGTTATTTCGAATTGAACACCCTGTATTCTATTGCATTTTCAGATTCTCCTTGAAGAGTTGATTTCATCGATACATCACACTCGGGGTATAGCGGAAATGATTATGGAGATATAGAGTGCGAAAAATCGAGATTTGTTAACTTCAGGAATTTTTTGTGTATGCGAAATTTTCAGAAAAATCCCGCGTCGCGTTCTCCGTAAACGTCTAACCTATAACATCGACCGTGAGTCACGCTGTATAGATACCCAATAAAACTGCTGAAAATCAAGTAGCTTGATAGAACTACTTGATTTTTCAAGTACTTGATAAATAATTACTTGACTTGACTTGATATTAAAAAACTTTCGCTTGACTTGAACTTGACTTGATTTCAAGTCAAGTCAAGTCAAGTAGCTTGAATATCAAGTCAAGCCGTGAATCTCTGATAAAAACTCTGAGCTATCGTTATGCCATAAACTAGTACGTTATGTGATTGGAATTGTGCTAACATTCCGGAAGGATGTCTATTATGGTTTTCTAGTAATCTGAACGAATCAACTTTCCGACACCTACTTACAAAATCTTGAACCAAATCAGGTTTATGCGTTTTTACTCGGATACAAGTCCTTTCACGTAGTTTCTAATAATAAAAAGACAAATTTCCTAGAATACTGCGGTAATTTTTCGTATTTTAAATAGAATTTAAAGATATTGGCACATTAGACGTTTCTGGAGAACGCAACTCAAGATTACTCTGGAAAGTTGGTGCCTTGGATAATTAGTTGTGTTCTATCGACCTTGAATATTCTCAGTGTTGCGACGTTGCCGCTTATATTGAACAGTAGGAACAACTTTGATTTTTCTAGTGAGACACCCTGTATATTATTCCATTTTCAGATTATCCACGAAGAGCTGATTTCATTGACCTATAACACTTGGGGTCTAGCAGTAATATAATTACAGAGTTATCGGATTTGAAAAATCGGGATTAAAAAAAAAATGTTGTCGAAGCTATTCATAATTGGTCGAAACGGTTTTCATATCCCTATCCCAATATTTTATTCACTATCAATTGTTATTCAATTGAAATGAATACAGGGTGGTTCAAAATTGAGACTTCTTACCCCCCTGTATCTATTTCAATTAAATATCAATTGATAGTACATAAAAAGTTGAGACAGGGAAATAGAAACCATTTCGACCAATTATGAATAGTCTCGAAACAAAAAATTCCTAAAGCTGAGAAATCTCGAGAGAAATCTCAATTTTTCACATCCTATAACTATGTAATTAGTACTGCTAGGCCCCATGTGCTGTAGGTCAATGAAATCATAATAATATACAGGGTGTCCCATTCAAAAAATCAAAGTTGTTGCAACTTTTCAATATAAGCAGCAACGTCACAACACTGAGAATACTTCAGGTCGAAAGAACACAACTAATTATCCAAGGAACCAACTTTTCAGAATACAGAAACGTCATCCACCGTGAATCAACCTGTATATTTTGCTTACAGATATATGGTATGTCACCAGGATTTCTCGAATTTTTGTTGAGTGGTCTACTAGTAATTGAAGAAAAAACATTTTTTCTGCAACCGACACAAAAGTCGTCCATTTTGATACCAAAATTAGCTCTTAAATTGACGTGTCTATTACTGACACAAAAATAGGTATGTTGCTAGGCAACATATTTAGTTCCTAGGAGCTAAAGTTGAATTTTAGTTCCTAGGAGCTAAAGTTGAACTTTAGCTCCTAGGAACTAAAAAGGATCCACTGGACGTCATCAAGAATAAACAACATTGTGACGGTTGGTTATTTGGGTTGAGACGCATACCTGATTTGTTTCCGATTTTAGCAGATTTGGCATTTCATACCCATGCTGGAGATATAAATACACACCTCATTATAGTTCAGTATTTCAATTATAAACATCTCGGTTAAGTATTTTTATTTTGATCAGGGAAGCCTTCAAGATTCAAATACTTGCCTGATCTGTATTTCATTCGTTATTCTCAGGATGGATAACTTGTTTTTGAATAATCACGGCAAGCAATAGTTTTTTTGTCTCAAACAACGATATTGTTTAGCTTCATTTGATTATCAAGTCAAACACAGTGTAGTATGGAGAGGAATAAATAATCTCTATTATCATTGTTGATATGCTCACTAACCTCACATTTTCCACGTCTTGTTCGTATAGCTGGCACTGGCGCGGTATTTGCCATTAGAGCACCTGGTTCATACACAAATATGTCACTCTGTAGTTGTATTTATATTGAAACTACAATTCGAACATCCTAGAAAACTTAACCTGCTGTTAATGCAGGTAGAATATTCTCACCACATGGATTATTTGTCAATATGTGTTGCATTGCATACATATGGCACGGCTTTGGTGGTTATTTCACATGTTTATTTGAGTTAATTGTTCCGGTTGCAGAAAAAATAGCATGTTTCATTCGGATCAAAAGTGACTTTGTTCGACTCGCAAATTTTGCTTTCGCTCGGCTTCGCTAAACGCTCCGCCTCGCAAATGCAAAATTCGCTTGTCAAACAAAGTGTCACTTTTGATCCTAATAAAACAATCTACTATTTTTCTTTCAATTTGAATTGAATACCCTCTATCTCGAATATGAAGCATCTTTCACGTCCGACGTTTATAGCAAATTTTCTTGTTCAGTCTGTTGCCAACATTTTGCTGCTATAGAGTGGACGATCCTGTACCTACATATAAAATCCTGAACACTATCAATATATCTTTTCGTTATAAAGGGTGCTCCTAAAAAGTATTTGCAGAAACTTACCACATATTCGTAAAGTTATAATTTTCAAATCGTGTTTGCTTTATAAAATTGAAACGGCTCATGGAATTTTGGAATTTTACTCAAATTTGGTACGTTGGCCTTGCTCCATTGGGCAATGAAACCCATATATCATGATTATAATGTATTTCATTTAAATGGGCGAAGAAGTTATTTTCAGTAAATAAACATCAAAATCTTCTGAAACGGGTTTTTAATCATGAAATTTGGATTGCCTAACTTTAAAACTACAAAAAAGGTACTGCTGATAAAATTTGATGACTCTCATGGTTTCGATAAAACTTAAATTTTAGTAATTCGAAACATCTGTCAACACCAAAACGATTAAGAGATATTTCATTAAAAATGTTCGAACTATTCATAATTCCCACGAATATACAGATTCACAAAACAAAGATTGATACAAGCACACTCACCTCAATACAAATTTTCTCAGTCGCAACACAGAGAGAATCTATTTTTCGCCGTAGCTAATTTTTCTACTGCTACAGCCAAAAATGTTGGCTACATAGGAAACAGGCAAAATCTTCACTACAGCAGAAGAGAGCATTTTTATTTCAACGTATTCCTGTGGTAGCAGAGCTACTTTATAAAGAATTTAATTACAGTTGAAGCAAAGTAACTTTTTTGTAGTAGGAAAGTAACTGTACTATCCCAATAAAGGGGCTCCAATCTATTATTCTGTTATCGAAAAGTGGATTACTAATACAGAAAAGATATTTGCTGCTACAGTATAGAGTCTATTTTTGAACGAAAAAGTTCTTGCCAAGAGCAGCAGAGTGTTTTCATAGCTAGTGAAAATTAATTTTCTCACGATAGCAGAAATATTTGCTGGAAATATACGGATGAGTCAATAGTGCGTTCTCCTTCGATTGTAGCCAAACCGTCAGAGATATAAAAAAAATCAGATGAAACAGTTATAGGGTTTCATGAGAACTATCACCTGAAATTGTTTTCAAATCTATAGGGTGTTCGAATTCCAAAATATATTTATTGAGACACCTTGAAATAAAACTTCTTTCCAACAATAGAAAGATATCTTTCCATCCTATAAATGAGAAAATTTTCACGGTAGTGGGTTTATATAGAGAACCAGTGAAATGGTTTCAGTAAAGTGAAATTTTCTGTGAGAGAAAGGCCACATTCCTACGTTTGTAATCCACGACAGATAGAAAAAACCCAGCAGAGAACTCTCTCATGGGACTTTTCTCAGTGTAAAGACTTCTCTGGCTTACTCAGTACTAAAAAAACAACAAAAAATAGCTAATAGCACTTTTCAATTTTTTTTCATTGTAGACGTACGTATTTTGTTTGTATACGTGAAAATTATGAAAATTTTGAACAATTCCCATGAAATATCTGTCAATCGTTTTGGTGTTTACTGATGCTCTCGATTACTCAAATTTAAATTTTGTGGAAACCTTTTCAATCCTAAACAAGTTACGCAATCCAAATTTCAAATTCAAACCTCTCTCTTTCCATTGGCGTAGAAGTTGTAGATGATTATTTACTGAAGAATCAAGTTCTACGCCCATGGAATGAATGATATCGCCAAATAAAGCTATGCCAATGCACCAAATCTTACAAATCTCATGTGCCGTTTTGAAGTAACGAAGCAAAAACGATTTAAAAATGTTAACTTCAGAGTGACCTAGCGCCCAAACTAAGCAATTTTGTACTGAGGTAACTTTGCTTGAATCCAATGGTTTTGGTCTGAGGAATATATGGTAAATTTTTGTAAAGACCTTATAAGGACAACCGTAAAACTCGCTTGTATTTGTTAACGCTGGATGTGATACAAAAGTTGATCTTCTTATCATACCCTTATTAATGCTTACTTTAATCCTGTATGAACAAATATATTGCCCTCGATGAAAAAAAACAAACAAATGAGTTTAAATATTTTGTAAGAATGAGGGATGAATTAAACAAAATCCATTGCAGTTGAAGTTTGCCAAGAATCCCAACATGCGCATATTGGTTTGAGCTCTTTCTTTATATCATTATTCAAATTTGGACATTTTGATTAATATCCGTTTTGAATTCTTCCGGATTCAAAGGCGAGTGATGTTTTCTGACGTGCACTCGCAAATTCCCCTTTTGCTTAGCCTTGTAGGGGCAATAGGGGCACTGGAATTTCGGCTCCTGGTCCCCGCATTCGTCCTGTTCATGTCTCCTCATGGTCGACTTCCACTTGTACCTTTTCCCACAATGGCGGCAGGCAAACTGCGAGTCCGGGCTGTAACCCGGACGAATTCTGTTGTCCTGAGCTTTTTCGACTAGCTCTTTCTGTTCCTTTTTCATCCTGGATTTGTCCAGCAGTTTCTTGATGGTGGGCGGAATGAGGATCTGATCGAACTCTAGAAAGTCTAAAATGAAAGCGGAAGTGAAATAGTGAGAGAGAAAATGAAAGACGCAGCGTTCACCAAAGCAGAAGGATTAAAAGCGTTAGAAACGATGGTATATGAATATTTAACATATCTAGTGCGCCTCGTATTTCTCGTGTTCTCTCAGTTCATTTTCATGAAACTCTGTATATTATGAGCCTCTGGCTATTGTGAGGAATTCTTAAAGCACACCAAATTCATATGAAACTAGAGCCGCCAATCGCCAATGATGCACTTGTACAGGGTTATCCAAGGGGTCAACCACGGTGGAATTCTGGTGCACAAACAACCGAAATTCGTTGGAATTCACTGGAATTCCCTAGAATTCTTCAAGTGAAGTGCGGTATATTCCTGGACTACAAACAACTATAGAATTCCTTGGAATTCCTTGAATTTCCTTGGAATTCTTTGGGCAAACTGCGGTATAATTCTGGTGTACAAACAACTGGAATTCCCTGAATCTCCTTGAATACTCTTGAAATTTCTTGGATATTTTGTAATTCCTTGGATTTCCTTCGAATTCCTTGGAATTCCTTGGTGAAATTGAAATATGGTGTACCCAATTTCGACCGCAGTTTACCCCTCATGGTTATCCATTGAAAATGCCCATCCCTATAGTTTATTAGCGATATTTTTCCATCGAAAAAGAAACCATAAGCGGAAGTTAAATGCAGCAATGAGGCCTCTGCACAGCCTTATCAGATGTTTTACTGGGTGATCCTCAAAAGCGTGACAAACCACAAATGATTTTTTTCAAATGTAACACTTTGTTTTAGGTATATATTTTTTTCGGAAAAATATATATACAGGGTGATATATTTTATTTCCACTTCTTCATCACTACTCGTTTGAGCCAAGAAAAACAAATTTTGACTAATTAATTGGTGATCACTCGATCAGTTTGGGCATGTATTCGATAAACAAAAGAGATTTCTGAGAATAAAGGGCAAAGTTCATTTTCTGTAGACAAACAGTGGCTTCACTATTTCACTATGAAAATGATCTTCCACTCAACCCTGACTGAACCAACAATGAATAAGCAATAAATGGAAGTGCTGCTTACTGGAGTTACAATGCTTTGAAAGTGATGTCCCATGTGTTAATGTTTGTTGGGTCATTTCTGAGTTATTCAAGAAAAACTGACATTTTATGGATTGTCTGACAAAAGGACTTCAACATTCTATAATACTACTTTTCAGTGATCTTTTGAATGGTTTTGAGTTTGAAATTTCTGAGACATGACATCCAACTTAAATATATTTTTCTTTTCTTTCTTTTTCGATTCGAAAATCGACAAAACCATTCAAAAGATCTCAAAAAAGTACCATCTTAATGTTGAAGTCGTCTTTCCATACAAGCAATAGTTTTCTAAATACTCGAGAAAAACAAAAACACAAAATTTCAGTTTTTCTATAATAACTCAGGAAGGACTGAAGCTATTCTAAATTTCTTGACGGATTCGGAATCATGGTAGAATTTGCTGAAACTTTTCTAATTTAACCAACTCTTTATTACTCATAGTCACCGAGATCCCAATAATGAGGATCGAATTTGGGAGAAACGATATAATAGATTTTTGTGATTACAAAAAAATCACAGATTCCGAAAGAAATATATGGAACAAGGTGTTCCAATTGAAAAAAATATTATTGGTTTGTCACACTTTCAGGGATCACCCTGTAAAAATTTTGAAAAGGGCAGTGGAAAGGCCTCATTGCAGCATTCTGTTTCTTTCACTCGACGAAAAAATAAGGTAAATAGAGGAGTGGGCCTTTTCTATGGATAACTCTGTACCTATACATAGTTATGTTTTCCCTTTCACACCCATACATTATCCAGCTCATGACACGTTCGGCAATGCAGTGGGCGAGTCGTAGCGAGAAAGGTTTAATGCACTTCAAAATCTCAACTTCAAGGTTCAAAAAGCAACTGTGTGATGTGTGACTACCTCGACTAGCAAAATTGCGAACCGACACCGACTTCATAAACATAATTCCATACTTTTCATTCTTGAAATGCAACATCAACAATGAACGAGAGTGATAGAAATCAGGACCTCAAACCGTTGGTTACAGAAAAAAAGATAAAAAATTGATGCAGGATGCATCCATTTTATTGCCGTTGAGATCAAATTCGATGAGAATGATGTTGAAGTTGAACGAATCCAGAATATAATATGTGCAGATTCATTATAGACGGTTTGTTTTCTACTTTCCGGAATATTGAGAGTTGAGACCCTTTTGAAAATCTACCTCACTAAACGCATTCGCTACGCAAGTGGAGAAAGATCATGCTCTGTGGTGAGACATATAAAAAACTTTCATCGGAACAGAGTATACACTAGTATACATATACTACATACAGAAGAAAAAAGGCCCCAAGCTCTAGCATCGCTATTATTTCTCCAATTTTGAATTTTCTGTTCAGAATCTGATTTGGCATAATGAGTATCCAGTGAACCATTGTGTGTAGAATATTGAGAAAAAAAAAACCGTCTTGCACCAGAAAGTTGCGATTATTTCGAGAATTCTTCAAAACCAACTTGCCCTATCGATTTGTATTAGGAGTATCATTTTCACGTAAAAAAACTTCAGGTATCATATTCTGAGATGAGCATCTTGAAAAAAATAACAAAAAAATGTATAAATCCATCCATAGTACGTTACCTACCTACGTCCCTGAATACGATTTTGAAATTTTGAGCTCTACTTCTGATTCAGCATCATTAGCATCATGCGAAGTACCAAATTTTGTGATTTTTCGATGAAAGGATTCTGAAATATTGAGAAAAAACCGTCTCCAAGGTGTACCTACTATTTGAAGGGACTACTTTACGAAGCATTTTTTGACGAAACTTCTTTCCATAGAAACACTTCAGGAATCGTCTCACGAATATTTCATCAGAAAACACATTGTTTAGGCGGAGAAAAGGCACTTGAACAAATAATTATAACATAATGTTGTGTAATACAATTGTTTAATTACAGCCTTGTGTGCGCAACATATAGTGTACTGGAATGGCCACCATATATGTATATTTGTTTTGGTGAGTTGAGCAGAAACTTTATACAAAAATCACCAGTTCAACTGGCCCAGGGGAAGGGGGAGGGGCATGACCCCCATGACCCCCCCTGGTTCCGCCCTTGTTCAGGAATTACGCAACAGTTTGTCCTCTCGAAAATTAGAATCTGTTATATTTTAGAAATGAAAACGACTTGGACTTGGTCGATCGCCATTCTGTAATGTACATTTTTGTTTTGCCATACATATAATTGATTTGGATCATCCATGCATTTGATTTGGATTCCAATTCTTCTGGAAATCTTAGAAATTCAAAGATGTATCAATAAACTTGATAGCGCTTGTCTGGCCGGTAATCATATCATTCACATTTTTTATATTTTAATTATATAATTCATCCTATACTGTCTCCACAAATAATATCACATCTCTATGTTTCATCTTTTTCTCAATTTCTGTGGTTTCCATTAAAAACAGTTTCCGCCTCTCTCCTTTCAAATTATTTCTTTGTTCGTCAACTTTTAATTCTGTATTTTGTGCTTATGTCAATAATGTCATTTTGAATTGTCAGGTGAACAATTTCAATTTCCTCCCCTTTGTCTTTCCTCTCCATCTGATTGTCTAATACAATATCAATAAATTATGTTTGCCTCTCTTGAAATTGCACCTACTGTTGTTGAGGTTTCTTCGGCTTGTTAGCCATTTCAGAACACAACTAATTCAAGGTATTTTTAAGCGTGTCTGATGATGGCTGTGGTACCGAAACTGTAGTAACATACACTGGTGTTTTTTATTGAATTTTGTGTCAACCGACTTCGAGTTTCATTTTATCCTTTTTCAAGAATAATATGTGTCTAGTTCTTCGTACGCAGCTTTACGAAAATGATTATAGCCGTAAAATGTCGTTAAAAACACGTTTTATCAATCAAAAAAGTTATATTGAAGCTGAAAAATACGTATTTATACAGGGTGTTGACAAATAAGTGTCACAACGGAAAACTGTAGATTCCTCATGATGATAGAAACATTTATTTCCTATTCAAAATTTTTCTCCGGGCTTTCGTTTTCAAGATACAGGGCGTCAAGAAATCAAAAATGTTCAGATTAATTAAACACACTTTACAACACTTAATAAACTTAACAAATCGAGAACCAGCATCGAGACCAGCATACTCAAGAACCTGAAATTTGATTCAACATATTATTAGACAGTTCGGAGGTATTTATTTCCAGTGGATTTTTAGACGATTTTTGGAGATACCATCAGGATTTTGTATGTTTTTATTCATAAAGATCCATTTTTCTCGGAAACTATTGACTTTAGAGCATTGAGACAAGAGGACGTTTTTTGTGTGAAAGATATTGGCGTTTCTGAATCTACTTCGGAAATTACAACTTCTCCAGTGGCATAAATGTTTGGGGGGTTAAACCCTTACGAGGCGTTGAATTCTCCTCCACAGACATGTCCACGGAAATAGATTAAGAGCCCTAAAAGTAGTCATTATTGATGATGAAGTATGTACGAAGGCTCAACTCCGTAGCTCAGACGGTTCCTGAGATAGTAGCAAAAAACAGATTTTTTTGTATTTTTTTGACGCCCTGTATCTTGATAACGGAAGCCCGGAGACAAATTTCGAAAGGGAAAAAAATGTTTCTTTTTTAATGAGCAATCTACAGTTTTCCGTTGTGACACTTATTTGTTAACACCCTGTATATATATATAAAACGATAATCACATAACCAAACTAACAACGTTGAGAAATCAACGTTAGGTATTTTTCCCCCCACTCAATGTTGAAGAAACGTTGAATCAACGTACCTGTGCTCAATAGGTAATTAGCACCGGGCGTCTTTAAAACCTACATTTTGGGTCCGAATACACCTCTACGACTCATCAGGACTCATAAAAACGTATACGAAAGACATCTTTGAGTTTTGTGAAGATGCATAGACTAGTTTTC